CCCCAAAACCCCAAAACCCCAAAACCCCAAAACCCCAAAACCCCAAAACCCCTGCTAACTTCTATATACAATATAAATTAATGGAGGAAGTTGCCTGCGGGAACAGACTTAAAGATGTGTATGAGCAAGAGTACTTTAGAAGAGATTAGGGGTGACAGGGGATGATGGTTGGGCAGGAGAGTTGGGTGGGGCTGTTTTGGGGGGTTTGGAGGTGAGGAGTGGGGTTTTGGGGGAGAGAAGGGTTGGGATGATATTTGTGATAGGAGAGAAGTATTGGGGGTTTTGGTGGCGTAGTTGTGAATTTAGTTAGGTTTGGGTTGGTTATTGGTTTTGTGTGCAAATACTGATAAATTCTGGCAATTTTTATATTGTGATTTTCTCTTATGGAGTCGAAATGTTATCTTAATTTTAATGTTATTAATTTTGAAACTATGAACAATTTGTATTAAATGGGAGAAGAAACATATATAAAATAACTGTAAACGAAGGAATATATGAGCTATCAATGATTTTATTTAAAAAATATTCATCAAGCTTTGCAAGAATTTATTTCTGGTAATATTTTATTCGATATAATTTCTCTCTATAAAATATTGACCAAAACAGATTTGAACTCTCCTTCAGCAACACCAGCTGGTTTATTCTTTTCAAAGATTCAAATTACAATGATTTGAAATTAAACTAAATAAATTATTTATTTCAAATTTAATGTCTATTTCACTTCTCATAACTCTAAAACTGAGCAATACTTATTCTAATGATAAGGTCTTATCCTTCACCCTAAAATATTCTGAAAATCTATTAAAATCAGCTTAAACGAAAGACCTAAAAATTGAGATACAAAGCAACTAATGATTTTAACTACTAAAATTTAAATTCTTTCCTATTAAATTCTATTTGAACTTCATGAATAATATAGGGTCGAAAAATGTATCATGACTACAAGCAGAAAAGTTGAAATAAGGCTCGCTACCAGCCATTATTTCAATTGCTTTAAGGAAGAATTATACCAAGAAGTTGATCCAGACCGTGACATTGGCAATCGTATTCTTGATGTTTATGCTAACCATGATTATCAAAAGGAATTGAACTTCACCAAGAGAGAAATCTTTAACAGCTCATTCAAGGCTAATCAGGTCTACGTGAGGAATATAAAATAATGTTAAGAACATTTTAGGATTTCTGGAACTTTCATTCTCTCAATCAACCAACGTGTTTTATGTCCATGCGAGTCAAAGAAAGTTTCTTAATATGGCCTCTTGCCTAAATGCGTTCACTAGAATCAGTTGGAGAGTATTGAAGGGGATGTTTATCTGTTGGTTCAAAATTAGTGCTCCCCAGCTTCAGAAAATTATAGCTTCTTACAGGCATGTTGAAGACCTCGGGATATGTTATTGTAAATTATCGCTTTCTGTTGTCATGAACTTTACTGAAGCATTGAAAAATTTTAACATAAAGACGCTAAGTTTTAGTTATTCAGGAAGATATGACTATTCTGACTGGAAGAGCAATCCTGAAGAATTAGTAAATCTGATTAAAGGATTAGCCACTTCTTCAGATCTTATATCTAGCCTTGAACATTTTGATATTTCCTATTGTGGAATCAGCATTGATAAAGCTAAAAGAATCCTTGAAGAAAACTCATTTGGAAAGATACAGTTAACGCTTATTTAGAAAAATTGTATTGAGCTGGTCATAATATGTTCTCTTTTCAATTTGATGTTATCTTATTGGGGTTTTGGGGTTTTGGGGTTTTGGGGTTTTGGGGTTTTGGGGTTTTGGGGTTTTGGGG